GATTTAATTCGACTTTTGCGTACGACGATCAACTTTCGTGCATACGTCGACCATCCTCATATGTCATCAAAAACACTGCTTAAGAAGACCTACGACCCTTCCTTCATCCCTTAAGAACACCCCCTTATACCCCCCTCCCCCCAACACCACCACCCTTAGAGATGAGTTAATTCAAATTCCGCGTACAGCATTAATTGTTTTCGTTAAAAGTTTCACTATTGGTTTATTAGAACATAACACTAACTTAAGAACGCGAAAATCCTTCTATCTCGGATAAGGACTAGAAACCGGGAGGTGGGGCAAGGGTAAAATGGCCAAAACTCACGATTTAAGTCAACTTCAGCCTACAAATATCATCCTGTCTGTGTAAATTTACCTCAGAATACATATAAAAACTCTGCTTAAGTAGATGCCCGATCCATTTTTCACCCCTTAAGACCCCCCCCCCCCTATCCCCACCCCCCCACCCTTTACCCTCAGCAGAGATGAGTTAACTCAACTTCCGAGTACAACATTAATTATTTCGTAAAACTTTTCACTATTAGTCCACGGGTTAGTACGGGTTTTATATAGCTCGGCTCTCGGAGAAGAGAGCGGATTCGGTTGATGACCCTACAAGCTTCTGACGTCCATTCTGTTTCACCTAATATTATAAATACAATCCGTAGGATTCGTCATACTCATGATATTCCTAGATTTTCCAGACGAAGTGATATTTCCATTAAGGACTCCAATGAATTGCTCCAGTGCGGTGTTGTCAACCTACTCACTAATGTGCCAAGAGAAGAAGTATTGATTTCAGAGTTCTTGAAACCCGTATTCGACAACTTTCTACACCACTGGGGCCTGTTTCACGAAATTTTGACTAAGATAAAATCCAAATTTTAGTAATTTGATTGGATAATATAAGATTGATTTTAGTGCTTAGCCAATCAAAATTGAAGTATCTACTAAAATTTGGATTTTTTAACTTTAGTTAAGATTTCGAGAAACAGGGCCCAGGATACACCACTATAAGTTCATACCAGTATTCCGTTGATCAAGCAATGCCTGGAATCCACATATTTCACATGGGGAAAAACTATTATGAACAGATCCATGGTTTAGCGATGGGAAGTCCTTAACCCCGCTGATTTTCAAAATTTACATGTCACCAGAAGAAGGCACTCGAACCGCTCGTTTTCAACCTTTTTTCTGGTCAGAAAGATGGATAACACCTTCGTCATGTTACGTTCTTAAGGGGTGAATAATGGACCGGGCATCTATTTTAGCAGAGTTTTTAAATGTAATCTGAGGTAATTTTCCATAGGCAGTAAGGATGATATTTGTAGGCTGAAGTTGACTTAAATCGTCCGTTTTGGCCATTTTACCCTTGCCCCGCCCCCGTTTTCTCGCCCTTATCCGAGATAGAAGGGGATTTTGTGTTCTTAGTAAGTCAGTGTTATGTTCTAGTGAACCAATAGTGAAATTATTAACGAAAAAAATTATTGCTGTACGCGGAATTCGAATTAACTCATCTCTAAGGGGGGTGGGGGTATAAAGGGGGTGATCTTAAGGGAGGAAGGAAGGGTCGTGGGTCTTCTTAAGCAGTGTTTTTGGTAACATCTGAGGTTGGTCGACGTATGCACGAAAGTTGATCGTTGTACGCAAAAGTTGACTTAAATCGTCCGTTTTGGCCATTTCACCCTTGTCCCGCCCCCCGTTTTCTCGCCCTTATCCGGAATGGAAGGGGATTTCGCGTTCTTAAGTTAGTGTTTTGTTCTAGCGGATCAATAGTAAAACTTAGAACGAAAAATTAATGTACGCAAAAGTCGAATTAACCCCTCTCTCAGGGAGGTAAAGGGGGTGTTCTTAAGGGAGGAAGGAAGGGTCGGGGGTCTTCTTAAGCAATGTTTTTGGCGACATCTGAAGTTGGTCGACTTATGCACGAAAGTTGATTGTTGTACGCAAAAGTCGAATTAAACTCGAATTAAAATACGCGGAATTCGAATTAACTCATCTCTAAGGGTGGTGGGGGTATAAAGGGGGTGTTCTTAAGGGAGGAAGGAAGGGTCGTGGGTCTTCTTAAGCAGTGTTTTTGATAACATCTGAGGTTGGTCGACTTATGCACGAAAGTTGATTGTTGTACGCAAAAGTCGAATTAAACTCGAAAATTCAAAGTTTTGTCGGATCCCCCACCCCCATGGGAAGAGGAGCCGCAACTTAAGAATCAAGGTTCAGAGTATCGGACATCACTGCCCACTCATTTAACATATTAGACATTTTGTACGCGATTTTCGAAACAACCTGAGAGAGAGAGAGAAATGGGGTTTAACGTCCACTCGACACAAACTAGGTCATTTCGGGACTAACATATGGTTTAATTTTATTTCAATAATTCGCTTGCGCGTAGGGGTCTTTAGCAGTGGGAGGAAACCGGAGGACCCGGAGAAAACCCACGAGGTTGGACAGGCGACCCTACTCCTTGTCACGTACAACCGGGGATTCGAAACCACGCCAGTCGACTCAATGACAGACTTTATGATACAGCGCGCGCACGCTAACCATTCAGCCATCCAACCCCCCCACGAAACAACCTGAACCTAGCTCCCTAACTAATCCGGCACCCACTAAACATTTCTTCAAAAAAATTCTCCCAACTCAAACTTTCCTACACAACCATAGTCAGATGCTGGATTACCATATTCTGTGATGTGCGTCAACAGAACTGTCAAATACGTGTACCGGTAGGGGCCTACTGTGTGTATATTATAATTTACATTATTTTCATCACGGAGAATAAAATGTTTTTGTTTTTGACACTGAAGAGAATTCTCAAATTCATCTAATGATAGTGCTCTTAGGTCATTCTGTTATCTAATTGTATCAGGAAATCAAAAATTTGCCTTCTTCTGCTTTGGTCTGAAATGCTTGGAAAATGGGTTTGCGGTTGTCAATTTTCAAAATTTTCCTGGGGGAGAAAGGACGCTCGTGCGCCTTGGGCGCGCACGTGACGCGCCTCCGGCACCGAATGTAGTGACCCTGCTATCAAATCTTGGATACGTTTTTTTTAATATATCAAACAGGATACAAAGTTCACAAACATAATTCTTCATAAAACTCAAACAATAAACAGTCTTTCATTCTCTCACCCCCCAACTCAACTTGATTTAGCCGAATGCTACTGCACACTGATCCGCAGTGAATATTCGCTAGGCCGCGACAATCACTGATAAGGATGACATCGATGCGACTTAATGAGCCCCAAATATTAACTTTTTTCCTCCGACAAATTAAATTTTAAAACATTTGATATTTATGTATTAGTATTAGAAAAATAAATAAAGACGTTTGAAGTATTTGTAGGTAAAAATATTTCCTGTTTTAATGTAAATGGGTATTAAAATGAGTAAACGGCGCCTTTCTGCTCGAATCTGTATCGTTTTATGTAAACAATGCAGGCGCCATTGAGCCAATGATTGACGCCGCGTGATATGACGTCATGTGTTGAAGGCAGTCATCTTTTACAGAGATATTAGAACACTTTCATAGTACTCTGTGAAACAGATTGTAGCTACTGCTGGAAAACGTTACATCGTTTATCTCCTATGAATTGAAATGACTAAATATTTCTAACCTATTTTTGGTCTTTTATATCAATTGATATCTAGTTATTTTAATAAAATTAGCTGATCGGTTAATTACGCCCAATGAAGTAAGAGTCAACCAAATATGGATATGTAACTCTGACATCACATCTGGTAAATTTCCACTGGTTTGTTTATTATAATCAAAAAGGCAAATAACGAATCCCTGAATTTTGTTAACCGATGGGTCATTGTATATCAAAATTTCATCTATTTTCTTTGCATAACGTGATGTAAAACTTGTTTATGATTTTAATTCGGCCCTGACTAGATAACATATCCTGTTAATATTATCATAATTTGAAAAACAAATTAATTGCATTTCTTTTTTTAAAACAATAAAACAAGTATCCTCAAAGAGAATTTTTACTGTTCTCATATTCAAATAACATTAATATTCATGTTGCATAATTATTGGGATTTTCCGGCGTGGTTTCCCCTTATCAGTGGTGAAGGACGGGGGGGCTGGCAAGGACAGCTATCTAGTCGTTCGGATGGAACGAAAAACCGAGGTCCCATATACATTGACGTGCTCGTAAAAGATCCTCTGGCAGTTGGAATTCGACATAAGGGTAGGCTGAAGCGCCGCTGTCCTGGCAAAAATTTTCCTCATAGCACACTATGGCGTATGCCCGTCTTCATACAAATTATATATTAATAACTTCATGGAACTTGATTTATTGATTATTATTATTATTATTATATGTTGAAAAATATTGTGGTGCCATACCATGATGGAGGCAGACCACCATTAAATTTCACCATCTTGTACCATACCATGATGGAGGCCGACCACCATTAAATTTCACCATCTCGGTACGAATTGAAGTTCGTCTATTTATAGCAATTCTCTCTCTCTCTTTTCTCCCCTTTTGCATGCCCATTTTTGTTGATTTTTTGGTCTGGAATGGACGAAGAGGGTTTGAATTAACATTTTCTGCCAGGTTTTGGTAAATATTCATGATTTTGTGGCGGAAGGATAACAGGGTGGTCAGGTTGGCTACAGCGATATGTACGGCAACTAGTTACATGTTTTTAGTATGCTTCTTCAAGTTTGTGTATCTCAAAATTTGGGTGGTCAACCTCATACAAATTTTAGTGCAAAGACATGACCATTTGTTCCTCTGTCTGTAGTGAAAAGCATTCAGCCCAACGAAAATTTGGGGAAAAGTTGGAGTTGGGCAAAGAGGCCAGAATTAACATTGAAGTCAATGGGGAAATTAATGGTGGTCTGCATCCTGATGCTTTAAACGGAGTTGCTCCCCATGTCGATAAACAGAGTTATTTCCCTTTCACCTTACAATGTGTCCATAACTCTGTTCCCGTAAATTGCCGAAAAATAAGCTTGGGGTACCTATAATCAAGTTCTAAAAAAACTATTTCATGAATGGAAAATATTGTTAAATAGTGTGGGAATCTTATTTTTTATTTCTTACAGCCATTAGAAATAACAAAGAATCATAACGCGCTTACCTTTTTATGTTAATGACATAAAAACAACTGATAAATTATTGATGGTTTTCTTAATGGCGACGTGATGGTAACCAGCAGAAGGGATATTTCTAGTTATTGAAATGGAATGTAAGTGAATATCTTAGGTTTTTCGATTGTGAAATTTTGTTGTTGCATGATAAATATGGATATAGAGATAAACGTTTTAAAATAATAAAGAACTGTAGATGTTATGGCAACGGAATAACCTCCGTGAAAGTGATAATTGTTTATCTTATCTTAAAGAGAACATATGTACTGTCAGTGAGCATTCGTCATAGGGTTAGTGCTAAATGTTCAGGCCAGCTCAATTTTTCGTCATGGGTCATGAGATGTAAACAGGGCTAGCACTAATCCCAACCCTAACCCTAAACCTGGACCTATATTAGTCCCAATGCTTACCCAAACCCTAACCTACAATCTCACCGAAAAATCATGTGCCCTAACTTTAATTACATCTCGGCAACTTTGACAAAAATTGAGCTAGCCTTAACAAATAGATTTAGCCTTATCATAACGTCTTTGGTTTTTTTTTTTTTTAGATCCTGTGTAAATCCCAATCAATATAGCATAGGCCCTAAAAGGTGTAAAACATATATAAATTCTTATTTATCATTTTAAAATAGGCCCTAGCTAATTAGGTTGACCAACTGTCCCGGTCGTGGTGAGCGGCTCCACCACCCACAGCTCCGCAGAAAACAAGAGGGTTTTAGTGCAAAATATATTTTTCCTGAAATGTCCCGCAACATAATCAAGAAAAGATGGTCACCCTCAGCTAATATATTGATTACAAATCAGAATTTCGCTTGTATTCTAAAATTACAAATCAGATCAGTTGATATTTAATTATAAAAATGTGCTCTTTGCTTTTCCAATCCACATCTCTATATATTCTTTTAAAAAACAACAAAAAACGTATTTATTTAAACAAGCTTTTAACTGACTCTGTATACAACTGTAATAACATGTTCATAATCTTGAGGGGGGGGGGGCGAGAGGTATGATTACATTGTCACTTTGTAAAGTGCCCATAAAAAAAAAACATGATATGAGAAGGCGCCCTGTAAATATGCTGTAATAATAATAATAACAATATTAATATAAAAATTTGCTTCAAAGTCTAAAAAGGTATCAGTACTTTTTTTCTGGGTGCAGTAAATTAGGAAAATTGTTGTGTGCATGAAGCTAGGCTTTTAATTTGTTGTATGTCCTGTCAGTGCATATTTTGATAGGCTATAATATAAGCAAAATTTAATTCTGTGCCATCAGTATTGCTATATAGTTTCAGACATTAAATGAGCATGTTAGGTTGCTGAATTTGTATCTCTTTAATTTCATATCTGGGCCTTTTTGCCTAGTAGGCTACACAACCATAATTGTAGCTACACATTCCATAATTGATACAGAATTCTACAGATAAAAATGAGTTTTAGGCCTATGTGATTTTTTACAGTCCAATTGTTTTAGAAAACAAGTAAACTACATGTATTAATTCACATTACAATCATTGAGCTTTGTTGCTGTAATAGTATATAGTACATTGGTAGGGATGGCCAAGATGTTTTTGCCCAGGTAGTGTTCAGTAAAGACTTAAATGTTGTGTTGTATATTTTAAATGTTGTTATTGTGTTTAGATGGAGCTTACCAAGGTCAAACACCTGTAAAGTGTAAACATTGCTTGATAAACCAGTTACCTTGATGTTGTTTACCTGTAATTCAGCTCGTTGGCTAATCTGGATGTTTTATACCTGAAGCCTAAAGTTAATCAACCAACTACACCCGAATGTTTTGATGTTGTATTAGATCAACAGTGCATTATTAATTACCTGTTACCTGGATGTTACACACCTGTAGTTCCATCATGCATCAGCTAATCAGCTAACCAAGCGGTTACCTGTTTTGTTTTGAATAATTAGATGTTGTTTACCTGTCATCTGTAGTGCTGTTTACCTGTTTTAATTAGATTAAATATGGACGAGCCTTACCCAGCAGGTAAGTAACAGATATCAAAAAAAGCCTTTGAGTTTGATTGTGGGCAAGGTAGGTATTCATGATGAATAGTAGTTTCATAACTGAGTTGCTATTACTCAATGTAAAAAAGATCTGTTATCTCTGATTTATTTAAAAGACTCGGGTACCATAGTCAAAATTTACATGTATCAACTATCAAGTGCTAAAGGGGTTATATAATGTAGCTAGTGAAGTGTATATTTGGACCACTCAGTATATTTGTGGCCTAATGTACTACATTTGAATATTTGGACAAGTGTCATCATTACCATATAGTATACATGTATATTTGTGGCCTAATGCACTACATTTGAATATTTGGACAAGTGTCATTATTATGGCTCAGTATATATTTGTCGCCTAATGCACTACATTTGAATATTTGGACAAGTGTCGACATTACCATATAGTATGGGGCCTAATGCACTACATTGGAATATTTGGTCGAAGAGTATGTCGTCAAAGGAATTAGAAAGACACTGTTTTAGGTTAACCAGTATGACGACAATGACTTCACCAAAATAACGTCATGCTGCCTCCATGTCGTTAAAGCTTCTTCATCTTCCTTGAGGCTTAACGTTCGCTTCCACCTAGGGTGATATCACAGGCTCGTCTCACATAGTTTGGAGACAGGTGATCGATTAAGAGAAATAATCCATGCCTTTTCCTTTAGATAAAGACACAATGCTTTTTGAGGAGCAGTGTCCAAGGTAGTTGTCCTGATCATATAGGTTCCATCCAAGGTAGTTGTCCTGATCATATAGGTTCCATCCAAGGTGATAAACCACATATATACCAGGTTTCATTGACATTCGATTAGAAATATAGACCATATTGTGTTTATGAGTGAATTGAAATAGAATGGTGTTTAATATGCACTAGTTTGCAATGTTTCTGCCCACTCTTCATCGTGTTTCAATTGTCACGTGCTCTTTTACGTACCGGTGCCTGCCAATGTGCTAACAGCACATATACCTTGATTTTTCATACTATACCTTGGTTTTACATACCATCCAAAGGACTAGACACCATTCTTTGTCAGGCTGGAAAATTCTGAGGAAGTATTTCGATTAGCACCAGCATTAAACTCAGGTTCTCCTGGTTAGTAAGCCAGCGCCCTAATTACTGAGCCACCATCACTCTGTCTTTACACCTTTGCTCAGCTACATTTCTAAAATTTGTAAAATAACGCTTTTCATGAGACAAGTATCATGGACGTATGTTTTATCCTTTATCGTCAGATGGTGGGATAGGATTGGCATTCAAAGCACGAGATAATGATATAGAACAAAAATGTGATATCATAATTAAAGCTTTGCATCAATGAATTTAATCACTATGTGATCATAGTAATTCATAATAAAAAATTGATGCCAAAAAGGATGTTGGATTTCTTTCTTTAAAAGCTCAGTGTGTATGTATATAGGATAATCACGTGGCTAAGTGGTTAATACGCTGGCTCGCTAGCCTGGAGGTCGGGTGTTCGATCCCTGCATTGGCCGAGAAAGTTCATTCAGATTTTCCAACGTGGTTTCCCCTTGTCAGTGATGCAGGACGGAGGGCCTGACAAGGACAGCTGTCTAGTCGTTCGGATGGGATGAAAAACCGAGGTCCCGTGTAGTCATTGGCGTGCACGTAAAAGATATCTTGGCAGTTGGAATTCGATATAAGAGTAGGTCGTAGTGCCGCTGCCCAGGCAAAATTTCCCTCATAGCACACTGTATTGCGTATGCCGTCTTCATTAGCCCAATTTAGGAGCAGAACAGTAGGACGTTAAACCCCATTTCATTTCATTTAATTTTTTGTATATAGGATAAAATGCCCCCCCCCCCCAAAAAAAGAAAAATAAATAAGATAGAGAGTAATTAAGTGTATACGTGGCATATTATAGAAGGCTATATTTATGATATTAAGATTGACATTTAAGAACAATTAATAATAATTATTAAGTAATTAAAGACACACTGCTATATAGTAATGATTTTGCTTGCTAGAAAATGTCAAACTGATTTTAAAGGAAGTTTACCAACTTTTATGTTATTTTCACATCCAAGTAATGTGTATTTACTCAGTACTCACCCATCAGAGACAGAGACAAAGAAAAGAGAGAGACCAGGTCATTTTGGAACTAACACATGGCACAATTTAATTTTAATAATTCGCTTGCACATAGTGGTCTTTAGCAGTGGGGTGGGGGGGGGAACAGGTGGACCCAGAGAAAACCCATGAGGTTGGACAGGCGACCATACTCCTTGTCACATACAAGCCAGGAATCAAAACCACATCACTTGACTCATTAACAGACCATTAGATTTTCAAGCATGATGGAGAGGCCATATGGGGTGAAAAACTGAGGTCCTGTGTACACACTGCTGTGAACGTAAAACAACCCTTGACATTTGGAATTCAAATGCTGTCCAGGCAAAATTTTCCTCATAGCACTGCATGACAAAGGCCAGTCTTATATATATTCATTTCATTCAGGGGGGGTTTGATGGCTGAATGGTTAGCACGTGCACGCTGTATCATAAGGTCTGTCATTGAGTCAGCTGGCGTGGTTTCAAATCCCCGATTGTACGTGACAAGGAGTAGGGTTGCCTGTCCAACCCCGTGGGTTTTCTTCGGGTCCTCTGGTTTCCTCCCACTACTAAAGACCCCTACGTGCAAGCGAATTATTGAAATAAAATTAAAAACCATATGTTAGTCTCGAAATGACCTAGTTTGTGTCGAGTGGATGTTAAACCCCATTTCTCTCTCACTCTCTCTCATTTCATTCGCCCATCTTCGTTAGTCCAGTTGGAGCCGAATAGTAGGACGTTAAACCCCATTTCATTTCATTCATTACAAAGAGAATGGGCAACTAACTTTAACCCTATTAGGAATAATTGAAATGCTATGCACTGTATTATTACTGGTAATCTGTATAGTGTTTAGTTATTATAAACTTATATATTAGACTTTGGGTTTTATCCAACCAAGGATTAAGTTTCTACTCATGTAGTTGTATATGTTTTTTACTTAGAAGAAGTAACAGCTTGTTTGGAGGTGTAGGATTTAAGTTTTGTAGTCATATACTGAGCTTGTTTAATCTTCTAGGATATGTAGACTATTTATTCATGCTTTATTGACCAATAAAAACATGTTTTATAAAAGAAACTCAACTGAAAAGATAATATTACAGATTTTTTACACCTGAAATGATATCTGGTTATGTTGTATTATTAATACTGAATCAGTTGTTGGTTAAAAATTGTATTATTTAAATCTGATGATGATATAATCAAGGTGTAAAATTGTATAATATTAATATCTGGTGATGATGTACTCAAGGTGTATATTAATATTGGTGATCTGAACTAGAATACCTGTATCTGGTGATGATATAATCAAGGTGTAAAATTGTATAATCTTAATATTTGTGATCTGAACTAGAATATCTGTATCTGATGATGATATAATCAAGGTGTAAAATTGTATAATCTTAATATTGGTGATGTGAACTAAAATATCTGTATCTGCGAGTGCGTTATTAAAAAGTTATAAAGGACGAAAGAAACTCACCTGGAAATTTTTTATGTTAGAAATAATCTGGATACATGTTATTATTGAATAATTAAGTTAAGGTATAAACATTGTATAAATTGAAAGTAGAGTTATGATGTAAAATCAAGGTATGTGAATTGTATAATAGAAGTATATATATAGACATGGTGATGTGTAAAATATTAACTAAGTTATATCTGTATATCTACATCATTCAAAAACTATAAAGGACAGTGTCTTGTATATGTTGTCGATGATCTTCGAATAGTGAAAGGATCATAAATTTTAAAATTTGTAAAGTGGAGTGTCACTTTTGTGTTTTATGTAGGACTAAACTAATAAAGAGTAATATTATGGTTCTAGTAGTAAAGTATTGCATTTTAACAGTTGTGGTGTTTATTTGACAATTTAGGAATCTGCAAGAGGAGCAGATTATCGCAACAGTTTCTTGTATGTCATCGATGATCTTCAAATAGTTAAAGGGTCTTAAGTTTTAGAATTTGTAAAGTGGAATTTGTATTTTGTGTAGGCCTAAACTAATAAGAAGTAGTATTAGAAGTAAAATATAGTGTCTTAAATTGCCTTTACAGTTGTGGTAATTAAATGCGAATTTAGGAATCTGCAAGAGGAACAGATATTGCAATAGTGAATTAGGAATCTGCATAAGAGGAACAGATATCACAATAGTGAATTAGGAATCTGCATAAGAGGAAGAGATATCGCAATAGTGAATTAGTAAAACAAGAACCAAAACTCTAATTAGAGTGAGGATGTAAACAGTAGTTGATTGTTTTGTTCAAATTGATGTGATGAAAATTATGTTGTTAATTGTTGATTTCATAAGATAGTAAAATCAACATTTTCTAATCATAAGTTGATCGTTGTGTTGAAATTGTAAACATGGATCTCAATAATACGTTAAATGCAACAATAACAAAAACTTGTCATTCCAACAAAACTTGTGAAGCAATTCTCATCAAAAAATGGTTCAGTCATGTGGAAAGTAAGTCAAACCTTTTAAAATTGCCTTTTAAAGGAAAGAGTGGTTAAATGTGTGTATGTCAGATCATCAGGTCCGTCATTGAGTCAAGTTGCACGGTTTCGAATCCCTGCTTGTACATGACAAGGAGTAGGGTTGCCTGTCCAAACTCTTGGGTTATATGTTAGTTGCAAAATGACTAGATTGTGTTGAGTGAACATTAAACCTTATTTCTCTCCCCCACCCCCTTTTTAAAGCAGCCATCCCTGATATAAAAAAAAAATTGTGAATAAGATGGGTTAATTCTGCTTGGAATACCGGAAATACTATATACCGGAAAACACCGGAAAACTACCAGAAATACCAGAAAACTACCAGAAAACACCATTTTATACTGAATACCGGAAAAACACTAAATACCGGAAAACACACTAAGTACAGGAAAATACCCAAAATAGGT